ATTTTCTTTTCTCTCCTTGGTCCCCGCTCACTTCTTTTTCGGTTTATATTTCTCTCTCACGATTCTCCCATCATTGATTAGAAATTGATGGGAATGCAGGCCGCACATACTCCCTCCCCCGCATACTACTTTATATAAATAATGGCACAATACACATTTTTTTGGCAGAAATTTTGACCACGGCACCTTTTATTGGTGTAATTAAATTGATACTCAAATAGCATACAATATCTTTTAAAATGTTCTTATTTATTTCATATACTACTGAACTTTAAAACCACGCTTAAGGATCGCCCTATAGCAGATATACTGATACCTGTGCGCAAAATCACACACACACCACACACACACACACACATACATATATATATAGAGAGAGAGAGAGAGAGAGAAGGTGCAGCGCAAGATGTAAATAAAACTAGACATATTATAACAACATGCTGGATGAACATAAAATAGACATAAAATAACAATAAAATCGAGTGCAAAGTAGTGAATCACACTGGGTAAATTTAAATGAGTGAATGTCCCAAAATGATTCAAACGCCACCACGGGGAACCACTAGATCCAGTTGAAGTGCGTGAAAACAGGAGTCCGGTGTATCACACAGTGAATAATGGGTAGAAAGAATGCGCACTCACCAGAAGTGCATCAAAAATGCGCATATAAGATATTCTCTCTCAGGTAGTGGTCATCTACTGCCAGAACAGGGTCAGAGTAATGCACCATCCAGTCTCATCCAGGGTAGGTAATCCACAAAGGCCTTAGCACTGTGTCACCATCTGAGGTCCCTCTAGAACGGTTTCTGCAAGTGGGGGACTCTCAGTGAAGAGAGTCCAATAAGGGACACCACATAGCGTAATTACCGTTGATACTGCTTTTATTGCATACAGGGGTAACACACCAATGTATGAGAAATGGGTCAAAATAAAGGAAATATAACTGACCATGTACACTTCAGGATGGCCACCAGCGGTGGTCAGACGTCCTGGAAACGTAGCCCCCCCCCCCCGGCGCGTTTCGTGCGATGCACATCATCATAGGGTGCTGGTCTTACACGCGTGTAAAGATATTATATATATATATATATATATATATATATACACGCGTGATTTAGCAGTGTACTACCCATGCTGCCATTCGCGCCAAACACCGGGGTCTCGGACGGTAATTACCCACCGGCACTCGGTGATTACTGACGATCGCTGACGGGGAGGAAGACTGTTTTGTTTAAAAACAGTCTTCCTCCCTGTCAGCTCAGGAACACTGCTCGGGATGGCTGTGCACAGCAAAGCCATCACCATCAGTGTGCTTACAGTAAAACACACGCCTCCGCCCCCTAGTAAAACACTCCTGCACAGTTAACCCTTTGATTGCCCCTAACATTAACCCCTTCCTGCCCAGTGCCATTAGTACAGTGTCAGTGCTTTTTTTTTTAGCACTGATCACTGTATTGGTGTCACTGGAGATGTCAGTGACACCAAGTTAGTGTCAGAATGTCCGCTGTAGTCTTACTAAAAGCTTTTGGCCTAAATTTATGAGGAAATGTGATTTTTTTTTTTTTACTGGACATGTTTAATGGCAAAAAAGTCCAAAAATATTGTTTTTTTTCTCAAAATTGTCGGTCTTTTTTTTTTTATAGCGCAAAAAAAATAAACGCGCAAATACCACCGAACCGAGAAAGTTTAATTTGTGGAAAAATTAACGACATAGATTTCATTTGGGTGCATCGTTGCATGATCGCGCAATTGTCAGATAAAGTAACGCAGCGCCGTAACGCAACAAATGGCCTGGTCAAGAAGGGGGGGAAATCCTCTGGAGGGCAAGTGGTTAAACACCACAAAGCAGGAGAGCATGTAAGGATTTTAAGCAAGTAAAATGCATGTAAAAAGGTATCCAGCAATTAATAAAGTTATAGTATGTTATTGGGAACATGTACTGTGGAACATGTGGAAATCTGCTTTGGCCTGATTCCAAATATCTTGTCTCTAACCCTATACCTCTTTTCTTTTTAGTTCCTATCATCATTTTAATGAGTCGGCTCAACTGGACTAGCAGTGTTGGGGTGCCAGAAAAGTTGAGGTGAACTGCAGTCAACCCAAAGATGTCACCTTCATCAATTCTCCCGATTTCCTTCGCAATTTTGTTCTGTGATGGGCATCAAGCTGAAGCCCCTCTTTGATCACTTCAAAGACTGTCCTCCCGTTCTTTTTAATATGGAATCATTGTACATAGCTAAAAAAAAATGTAAATGCTGACCTTCTTTTTAAACCTAAGTAATGTCTTCCCATCTTTTCTTTGTGTTTTTAACTTAGATCATGGTGGGCTGTTAGCTTCCACTTGGATTAATCGCTCCCCCTCTGCCCTATAGCAGAAATACTGCTACAGGACGGCAGGGGTGCGCAAAATCACGTATATATATATATATATATATATATATATATATATATATATGTGATTTTTGCACTTCGGGACAGGGGGCGCATGCGAGTCGCGCGCACCCTGCCATTCATGGCCTCGGCTGTCAATCACCGGGTCCCAGCTGGTGATTACTCATCGGCATCCGGTGATCAGAGTATTACTCAGGAAAGAGAACTGTATGTAAACAATACAGTTCTCTCCTCCTCTGTCAGCTCCTGCACACTGCTTTGTATGGTTCTGCATAGCAGAGTCATACAAAGCAGTGTGCTTACAGTGAAACACACTCAGCTTACAGTGAAGCACACAGTTAACCCTTTGATCACCCCACTTGTTAACCCCTTCCTGCCCAGTGCCATTAGTACAGTGTTAGTGCATTTTATTAGCACTGACCACTGTATTGGTGTCACTGGGGATGTCAGTGACACCAAGCCAGTTCCCCCCAATGTCAGAATGCCTGCCGCAGTCCTGCTATAAGTTGCTGATCGCTGCCATTACTAGTAAAAGAAAAAAAAAATCCAGTATCTATACAGCCATTTGTAAACGCTATAACTTTCAGGTAAACCAATTAATTTACACGTATTGGGATTTTTTTTTTTTTGTAGCAAAGACATGTCACAGAATACATTTTGGTGTAAATTTGTGCCGAAATTTGATGTTTAAAATTTTTTTTTGGATATATTTAATAGCAAAAAGTCAAAAATATTATTTTTCTCTAAATTGTTGGTATTTTTTTTGTTTGTAGCGTAAAAAATAATCAAAATAAAAAACACACAGGCGATCAAATACCACTAAAAGAAATTATTATTTGTGGAAAAAAAAGGACATAAATTTTAATTTGTGTGCAGCGTTGCATGACTGCGCAATTGTCAAAGTAACGCAGCACCCGTAACGCAAAAACTGACCCAGTCAGGAAGGGGGGTAAATCTTCTGGAGGGCAAGTGGTTCAGTAGCAGAGGGGGCTGTTAATCAATTTCAGCTGCTTTGGTGTTAATGAAATTAACAACAGGTGCACTAGATGGGCAACAATGAGACGACTCTCAAAACAGGAATGGTTTTTACAGGTGGAGACCACTGACATTTATTTCCCTACTCATCTTTCCTGACTGTTTTTCACTAGTTTTTGCATTTGGCTAGGCTCAGTGTCACTACTGGTAGCATGAGGACGACGGCTGTGATTGAGGAGAGTATAAAGATGGTGCGCCGCACTGCACAGCACATCCATCCCTATGACTAAGTCAGATATGACGAAACGCGTCAGTGCGTGGCTGTGCGGCGACCGGAAGTGACGCAGGAGCATCAGTGATCGAGTGTCCAGCGGTGGTGAGAGTACTGGCTTGGCTTTCTTTCTCTCATGCACATTTATGCAACATCTTTGGGCTTTTAATTTTCTTTTGTCTTCTAAGTGACAGTCCACTTGGCAATAAAAGAGCTTTGTTTTGTACTGCACCATTGGGGTATTCTCTTCTTTTCTCTTACATGGCCATTATTTGAGTGTGGAGTACTGGAGGAAAGAGGATTCCACAATCATTATTTCTATTGTTGAAATATTGAAATTCATGAGCACCTGCTATATGTTCTTGGTCGTTTTGAAAGGGAAGGAGATTGGAATATCATGTTCCGGTTAATCTCCTTTTTCCATTGAAGAATATCTATTAAGCCAATTTTGCCAACCATGAGAGTGGGAGGCAACACTTGCTGGTGAATGGACACCTAAGAGGGGGGAACACCATATTTTTCACAATATATTTTCTAACGTGGTGGTCATTTTTTAAGAAGTTTTTGAAGAACTTTTTGGTGGATAAATTAATATCATTTGGGCTTTTTCAGGGACTATACACCTCATTTATGTTTTATATATATCTTTTTATAGTTTATTATTTTTTATTTATTTTTCTGTTTACTTATATATTTGTCATTTTTCACACGGATAAGTGTTTATGCGCTACTTGATCACTTGTTAAAGTGTTCTTTTATGTGTTTTATCCATTTATTTTTAGAGTGGCAGCATTTCGTTTATGTGTTTTATACACAGTTATTATTTGTTTAATAGCAGTATTTACCACTTTTTCACTTTTTATTACTTATCACCTAAACATAATTAATATGATTGACTATGGCCTTTGCCTTGCTTGACTCCTAACCATTTCTCTACCTGCTGAAGATTCTGTGCAAAACAATCTAAAGAACAGTACAGATGCTAAACCCTGGACCTTTGCCTACAATGAATTGGAAAGAACCTTATACAACTAATTATCCTCAGAATCACAGATGACTGCCAGGGCTAGGATTATGAGAAGAAGGTGCCTTAGGTTTTGGCTCTAGCTTTTCAATGAAACAAATATCACCTAGGTAAGGTCTTTGTATCCAGTGAGGAATATACTTTGGATAGGAGCATGCTGGATTTTCTGATGTTCCTGGCAACTACATCAAATCACTGGCTATTATATATTGGATACCCACATGGACGAAAAATATATTTGAAATAAATTTAAAAAAATATTCTTCCCAAATATATTCACATATACCGTATTTTTCGCTCCATAAGACGCACTTTTTTCCCCCCAAAAAAGGGGGGAAAATGTTTAGCGCGTCTTATGGAGCGAATATGGAGCGGCCGGGGCCGGTATTTCCACCGCGGCCGTGTCAGAATACCGGGCCGGCCGGTCAGCTCTGCAGCGGGACCTTTTGGAGATGACTGCTAACCTTTGGGGAGGTGGGGAGCGGGTACCTGAATTTGACAGGTACCCGCTCTTACTTCCGCGGAGTTGTTCTTTGACCTTACCTGTTCCTCTATCCAGCGGCGCGCTGTCTTCCCGGCTTCTGTAGTGTGGGCGCTGGGCTTGACAGCCGGGTGCCATCGTGCGCATGCGCAAGAAGCGGTTTGCTTTTTGTGAATGGTAAGGCGGTACCTGGGACACATGACAGATCCCAGAAGCCGCCGGACCAATCACAAAGCGCAAGAGGAACAGGTAAGGTCAAAGAACAACTCCGCGGAAGTAAGAGTGGGGTACCTGTCAAATTCAGGTACCAGCTCCCCCCCCCCCCCCAAAGGTCAGCAGTCATCTCCTGTGCTGTCCGCAGTCCCTCTGGTCATCCCTATGCTGTCCGCAGTCT